ATTTAAAATATATATATAATTTATAAAGTATATATGTATATATATATTTACAAAATATACTATATATCACAATATATCTTTCAAACGTTAAATGACGCAATTATTGTTAATATTAACATTTTATGATAGTAATATTTGCGCGCAATATTTCTCTCATTAAAATAAATTAAAAATATAATATAAACATCTGTAAAATCTATATAGTAAGTAGTTGATAGAGGATAACTGACATTGGCAATTATGTATCACTATATACACATGTATACAAGTAATACAATAACAAAAAAAAAGATCGCAAATTTTCAGTAATCTTAAAACAAAATTGATGTTTTGCAAATCAAGCTATATATTACTTTTATAACTGCAATAATTACATCAGTCTTTGAATTAGTGATTTAAAATGATATTAGTTAATGTTTGCATTATAAAGAGATATTATGCTTATCGTCTGTTTAATTATTGAGTATATAGTTCAATTAATTTACTTATTGCTTAAAAATAACTTAATCTCAATATAATTTAATTTATTTAAATTCTAACATTGGGTTTACAACTCTCAATAGATAGATAGTCATTCTATTAATCATTCTAAAATTAAATGTTGCACATTTTATATTTGTATCTCTCTCGTAATTTCTTAATAATATATTCACAGATATTCTTTAAATATTTATGATAAAAAAGTGAAAATTTGTTAAAAATTGATATTTCAAAAGTAAAAGCTTTAATAATTTTTAGAAAGAGCAATTTTCCTCCATTTATGACTAGTTTCATTTTTTACATGACCAAATTCAAACCTTATTCTAAGCTCACCTATTTTTGAAATTGGCAAGATATCCGGTATCCATTCTATCAAAAATGGTGTAGGTTCGACTTGATTTGGAGAAGTATTTCCTAAAACAGAAAACAAAATATGTGTATGAAGCATATTATAAATAAAAATATTCCATCAATATCGCTTTCTCTATTAACAATATATTCTCTATAACAAATTATTTTTAATAAATTTTGACAAATTAGATTCCTTATGATCAATCTTTTTCTTACATATCAAACTCACCCACTTTCAAATATGTTTTCAACTCTAACGGCTTAATTAACGCGTTATTATTCGTCTTTTTGTAACGATCTATTTCTGTTTCCTCTCGTTTATATAATTCGTATGTTCCGTCCGCGTTTTGCACAAAACTTCTCGTAATCTCCAGAGGTATGTACGGTGTCTCGAAAATACTTTTTACATGCAAGATATTCGTGATCTGCCATGTGTATTTGGTAAATGTTCCTAATGGTACCCCGTCTTTTCTAACAAAAGCCGTCGTCGAATTCGGCAAACGTTTCTTCTTGCCACCGCAGGATATTCGTTCGCGTAAACAATCAAAGAATATCTGTGGCACATGAAACACCAGAGGATCAGGTTTGCCATCAAATTGGAAATGCATCGTCTGATTTATTCGCTCGGTTATAGATGCAAGCCACTTAATAAACGGCAAACTGGTGTTGACCTCATCTAAATCGTCGCAAGTGTTTTGATATTTTTTGGCAATTTGCGATTTTGTTTTCGTCTTTCTCGACTCGATCGAATTCAAATTCAAGCTACTGCTGTTCGCAGGTTTCTCATCCCTCTTTCGTTTAGTCGAAATTGCCGGTGGCGTCGCGTTACTCTCAGAATTCGCTATACTTCTATTATCGTAATGCACTACTGCATTTCTGTCAATTATCTTAACACCACTGTTACTTAAAACAGCATTATTATCGACGAGTTTTGTATTATTCACATCGAGAACTGTGGTATTTGCATCAAGAACCTTCAAAGTACTTGTGTCCAATATTTTTATGTTATTATCATTTAATATGTACTGACTATTAAGTACATTGAATTTTGTATCAATTGTTCCTTGATCATCCAATATTTTTATAGTATTTCCTCCTCCCAGTTGAACAGCATTTTGGTCAATTACTTCTAAATTATGAACCTGTATAATAATATACAAAATCTGATTATTCTTAATAGCTTGTTGTGTGTGAAATATAATTATTTTCAAATATATTATTATTATAAAGATACACACATATTATCTTAATGTAAATAAATATTTTATGACTTACTTGTGATATTATATTGTTATCATCCAATAAACTGCGATCACATTCTACTTCTATATTTTCAACAATACTGTGTGGTAAAATTGAAGAATCTAGATTCATAGAGTCTAAATCTAATCTGTTTCCATCTAAGTTTTGTACAGTTAAAGTATCATCGCGAAAAATTAATAGGTGTGTATCAGTTTCATCTGTGGTTAAGCTATCGAGATCTAAAATTTTATATTAATCATTGTTAAAAACAGATACATAAAATAGATTTTTAAATGTATATGCATATGATCTTACCAATTCCAACAATCTTATCTTCTTCTTCAGTTTGTGGTACAATTGCCAAAGATTTATCTATACTCAATTGCGTTTGATCTAGATTTATGTAATAACTAAATTCTTCAGATAACTTTGGATCACTAGCGAAAGCACAAATACATGCATAAAAATGCACGCATCGTTTTGGTTGTGACAACAGTGTGCCATCTATTTTCTCTCCTCCTGTCTTTATCGTACCCTATAAACAGATTAATTATAATTAATCAGCAAATTATATTTTCAAACTAAAAATATAATTTGTATTAAAAAAAAGAGAAAAAGAAAGCTCAAATAATTAATTAAAAAAATAAATCTTATCAAATATTTATTATCTCTCAACAATATTTTACTCAGAAAATTATATTACTATCTCTATTATATTACATACCTTAAATGTAGTACAACTGCAGAAGTAACGATGCTCAATTCTATCCTTTAATTTACTAACAAAAAAAGAAAAATGAAGATAACCTAGCGGATGCTTCGGGGAAGCTTTACATTTCACTGCCATTATATTCTTTGAGACTCTTTGTACTAAAGGACCAGAAGTTTCCGTGGCTAATAACCATATCTCTTGCTTTGTTTCATTATTTACATTCAATGATGACAGAATAGAATTTTTTAAAGTTAATGGCTGTGCTTCTGCATAGCATTTCAATGCAGCTTGAATGTGTTGACATGTGGACACAGTATCTGAATAATCTTTTTCCTAAAAAAAAATATATATATATATATATATATATTAAATAAAAATATAATATTTAAATAATATAATCACTAAAAAATATATCTTTTATACAAGCTTTATAATATAAGACACTTACATGACATTTGAGTACACTAGTGTCGAAACTCCTCTCGCAACTGTCCACAAAACATAGTGCAGTGGTTTGTGAAATGAGTGTCGTAATATCATTGGTATTTATCAAAGGTAACTGTACAAAACCCCGGTAATCAGGCCCTTTGTCTCTGATTCGTACAGAAAACACCTGCACTGATGAGCCTGTGATTAGTTTGCATGCTTCTGTGGATAATTTCCGCTTTTCACCAGGTTCTTTGAACACAGCATCACAGTATTTGTTCTTACAGCAGAGGCCACGTGAACCATTATAAATGCCACATTTTGGACACTTTCGGACTCCACGAAGCGTAGCTTTTCCCAGATCTGACAAGAGTTTTCTCAAGCGCTCCTCATTGGACATAGCTGCTAGAAATTACAGTAAAATGTATCATGAAGATCAGGCAGAATCATCAGATCAAGTTAACTATTTGTGAGATAGGTAGAGTCTATACATATTTAAGGTTCTTTTTTAAATTAGTTATTTAAGAATGTATTTTTTTTCATATTTTGTGTCCGTGTTAGTAAAAGAGAGAAAGCTAACTGAGTTGATATATCAAATAAAAAATAAATATACATATAAGAAAATTGTAGCTGCTTGATAAATTTGAAAAAAAGATAATAATTTCTACTTCTTATTATCTTATATTTAAAAATTTTAGTTTGCAGATTTAAAAATGACATTGTGTCTTGATAAGATAAGATGTAAAGAAGATAGGAGAAAAAATTGGAAAATTACCTGTCAGAGTAAGCGCTATTATCATTTCTCTAACCAATAAAACAAGATGTGCAACGCAATATGCTGTAATGCAAGAACAATTGGAAAAAGATCTTTCAAAGTATTCATTGCATCAAATTGCATAATAAAAACAACAAAATGATGAACTGTCGCTCGTCATTAAAAGAGCTCCGAAAAACTATTATACTTTGCCCGATTTAATTCCATTATCGCGAAACGCATTAAACGAAGCACATCTTGTCGTAAAAGCAAACGAATATCACTAACGATATTACCTCCCGATATCGCAGAAGCAATATAAGTATTCGTTATTGTAAGAGAGTCTCTTTTATGTTCAGATTATTTTGAAATATTAATTCGTCCCAAATAGTAAATAAATAAAGCCCATCGTGAATTATTCAGAGCAGAGGGCGTAAATCTCACTACAATTCCATTGGTATAAATAATATAGAGGGTTGATTATGATCGACCAGCACATATTATCATTTTGCATAGAGAGAGAAGAGTCTCAAATAAATTTCATATAAAAATTTGCTGATATAATTCAAGAACACTTTTCTATTTATAAAAACTTTTTTGCATTTTTCATATATTTAAATATGTGAACAAATAAAAACAAAGATAGGAATTTTCAATTTTCACATTTTTATTCTATAAAAAGTACTATGGATTACTAATAATTCCCCATCCATAACATCCAATCCCATCATTGGATAAACAACGCTTTGACGTCTGCGATATCGGCCTAACCTTCCCCTTCTCCTTCAATCAAGAAGGAAGAGTAACATCGGCCATCTTGAGTTTCTTTTTCAGAGAAGAGCTCGTAGGAATACAATATGAGGTTTGTGCATCGCAATAAACTAAATATGCTATTTCGAAAAGAATTGCAGATAAATGAATTTAGATTCGTCGCAAAAGTTGCATTAAAATTTGACTATTTATACGAATGCGATTTTGCGATGAAAATTTACGAATATTTTCGTCATGTGGTCCATACTGCTTGCTATCTATCGAGCACATGGGTTTATCGTTGACAAAAAATATAGATCTTTCTATATATTGTTACATCGACAACGATTTCTTTAGAAATACTTTATAAATATAATTCTTTATAAAATTTTACGGACGTGTAGTTTCGAGTGCAAATATGAAAGTGATAACTAATTTTGTATTGATATAACCGCACTTCTTTCTTTACAGTTCTCTGAAGCTGCAGAAGAGGCTAGCAGCCTCTGTTATGCGATGTGGCAAGAAGAAAGTCTGGTTGGATCCTAATGAAATCAATGAAATTGCAAATACAAATTCTCGTAAGTTTTGTTTTTACTTATAATTTCTGCTGTTGCTTTTATTTATATAGATAACAATTTATGTGACAATTAAATGTGCTCGCAAGAGAATTGTTCATTGTCACGTTATTATTTTTTTTATTTATATGTCAATAGATTTTCAATTTATTATATTTCTTTCAGGACAAAACATTAGAAAACTAATCAAAGATGGTCTTATTATCAAGAAGCCTGTGGCTGTACACTCGAGAGCTCGTGTTCGTAAGAATACTGAGGCCAGACGCAAAGGTCGTCATTGTGGATTCGGTAAAAGGAAGGGTACTGCAAACGCACGTACACCTCAAAAAGTATGTATATTTTAACAGTTACAATCTCCTCGTTCTTTATCTTTTAAATTATTCGGTTAATAATTTATCTAATCATTTGTAAACGATTAATAAAATCCAAAGTCTATACAATTATTTATATGCATTATACAGGATCTTTGGATTCAAAGGATGCGAGTTCTTCGTCGTCTCTTAAAGAAATATCGCGAGACAAAGAAGATTGACAGACACTTGTACCATTCGTTGTACATGAAAGCCAAGGGTAATGTGTTTAAAAACAAGCGAGTGTTGATGGAGTTTATTCATAAGAAGAAGGCAGAGAAGGCTCGCGCTGAGATGTTGTCCGATCAGGCCGAGGCCCGACGCACGAAAGTCAGGGAAGCACGCAAACGTCGTGCGGAGCGCATTGCCTCGAAAAAGCAAGAACTTCTACAATCGTATCAACGCGAGGATGATGCAGCGGCGGCGGCTGCAGCTGCGCAAAAGAAGTAATTTGCGTGAAAATAATATCTTAAAATTATATAAATAAAGTGAAAAAAAAAAAGAGTATGTTATTCCTTTTTTAAAACACATGGTCTTTTTTCCTTTTAATCTCCAATATATAATAATGATGTATTATTATATAATAATCGTATTATAAATATTCTAAATCTTATAACTATTTTTTTAAATTGAAGATCAGAGAATGTATATGGAATGAGTTATATGTATATAACCGTGTTCCAAAATTTTGCCAGAGTACTGGAAATCTATAATATATGTTACGTGAACTATACATTTCCAGTTCTAGCAGTGAATTTCGGAACACTGCCTATGTATAATATACGTGTGTATATCTATATACACGTAATTTCTATCGTGTTACTCCCCACTCCTTGTCAAATGACCGACTTTAGTTTGTTCAATCCGAAAGGATGGCGCTGAAGCTAACCCTCATTTTCCTTAAAAAAAAAAAAAAAAACAGTTCATGCACGCTGGTTTTTAACGATGAATAGATGAACGAGTTTCTCCACGAATACCAGATGGAAAAATGAATTTTCCGCAAAAGACGAGAGAGGAGATCAAAGCGGAGCGCGAAGCAAAGAAAGCTGCCAAGGCCGCTGCTAAAACGGCGAAAGGGAAAAATGTAAGCAAAGTAGCAGGAGCAAACAATGTCAAGAATGTATCTCCAGTAACTAATTGCAAAATTCCGCAGAAGAATGTAGAAAGAGACGAAGTAGCGAAACAAAACGATAACAAAATAGTAGAAACAGATGTTAAAAATAAACCTATTGCAGCTAATTGTGACAGCTCAGAAAAAAGTACAAAAACAGCAGCGACGATTGTAAGAGATTTGCAATCTACGAGAGAAGTATCTAAGGAAAACACAATTCAGTCTTCAAATATTGTTACGCAAGACTGCGCGTCTGAGGACAAAAGCAAAGAAAGTATCGGAGGGAAAAGCAAGGCCGAATTACGGGCGGAACGAAGAGCCAAGCAGGAAGCGCAGAGAGCTGCAAAACAGCAACAATTATTAGCAAAGGATAACAGTAAAACTAAAGAACCTATTAAACCATGCATAGAGACTAAATCCGAGTGTGCAGTAAAGAAAGAAGTTACAAAGAATGCAGTAAAGGAGGACCCGCACCAACTTAGTTTATTTAAACATTTGTATCATGAAAGAGAGGTCTCGCGGATTGACGTAGCTCCTGTCAACTCGAATATACATCCGGCAATAGTTAGACTAGGTGTTCAATATGCAAATAAAGTTATCGTCGGTAGTAACGCGAGATGTGTCGCGCTTCTGGCTGCTATCAAACAAATGGTCCAGGACTTCGAGAAGCCGGCGCAGGCCGACTTCATCCGCGGCCTCGAGACGAGTTTGCAACAATCTCTAGCATATTTACATCATTGTAGACCGTTTGCCGTCTCGCAACACAATGCCATGCGTCATCTTAAATGGCAAATGGCACGATTCTCATCATTGTCTGATGAAAAAGTAAATGATTTTGTATTAGCTTTTTGTGTTCCTTTTATTTAATATAATTTTAATTATATAAACATTATGATCCTTTTATTTTCTTTCCAAATGCTCTTGATTGTTCATTTAAATATGTACTTATATTCCTTTTATTTGAGTTTCTTATATATAACATTTTGTTTATCACTTAATGTTTAATTTCTTCCAGGCAAAAAATACATTACAGGCTATAATAGATGCCTATATTTCGGAGCAAATTGAACTGGCTGACCAGGCAATATCTATAACGATACGAGAGAAAATCTCAAACGGAAATGTTATTTTAACATACGGCTAGTAAGTGTTCAGATTATCAAAGTATATAATTTAGAAGTGAAAACATTGTGTGCAAAATATATATACATTGATTTATGTTTCTTATATCTGAAGATTTCTGTTATTGCTTATTTAAATGCTATAATCATCTGTGATATAATTTCAGTTCATCCTTGATCTACAAAATATTAGTAGAAGCATATGATGCTGGTAAACAGTTTCGGGTGATTGTGGTTGATGGTAGGCCATGGTTAGAAGGAAAGGAACAGCTAAGGCGTTTAGCGAGACATGGAATTGAGTGCTCATATATATTGATCAATGCTCTCAGCTTTATTATGCCAGAAGTATATAAATAGCATGCACAGTTAACTGAAATATTTATTACTAAATCTTAAATTTATTTATTTATTATTTTTCTTTTTTTGAGTACTTATTACATATTACAAAGCTATACAAATCTCATATATTATATATTCATATATATAAATAAAAGTAAGCAACCTCTATTTTTTTTAAAACAGATTTGAGACAACTTAAAATCAAATTCTTTAAATATTTATATGGCTTTTGTTTTTGTTTCGCTAAAACAGTTTATTATTTCATTGTCTAGGTTAGTAAAGTCTTTCTTGGTGCCCATGCGATATTAGCCAACGGAGCGGTAATGTCGAGAGCAGGAACTGCGCAAGTCGCTCTGATAGCAAAGGCCTTTAATGTACCTGTTTTAGTGGCTTGCGAGACGCATAAATCAAGTGAACGAGTGCAAACCGATTCTATTGTTTATAATGAATTAGGTAAGCAACAAAGAATCTGTTACTGCAACTATATTCCCAAATATGTATACTTATTTCATATATCGCGAATTTTGTATTATAATTATTAATATTATATACTATATAAATTTTTACTATAATATTAAGTTTTACTTTAACATATTTGATAATACATTGTTTGTCAAAAATAATATATTAATTATCTTTAATTTGTTTCCAACTTTTTCATTAACAATGCATCTTGGATTGCTTATTCATATTCAATGTTTTCTTCTTTTTAGGTAACGCGGACGAGCTCGTGAACCATCAATCGAACGACGAAACGAAAAAGTCTTTACTTTCGAATTGGCGAACGAAGAAGTCGTTAAATCTCTTAAACATTACGTATGACGTGACACCGGCCGATCTTGTGACGGCGGTTGTCACGGAATTGGCAATTTTGCCATGCACTAGTGTCCCTGTGATTTTACGAATTAAACCTTCCGAGATTTAAATACATACGTTCCCGCTAAAAAAATAAATTTTAATGATTTTTGCATAACATCTGAAAAAATATAGCTATTGGAATTGCTTGAAAGTACAACATATGCGAGATTGACGTATTTAATGTAATAAAATAATTGCTCGATAATAGTAAAATATAAGACAGATTAATATTGATTAATATATGCATTACTACATATTGCATTGTGCATACAGTTTTTATGTGTATTTATGAATAAACTTTTTAAATTGAACTGTGCAATGCGAAGAGAGATATAGCGAATTTTTGGTCAGGGAAATCTTGCCGATATTTAGTAGGTTTTCTAACTATAATTATAGAGCATTTTATATATCTAACAATATATTGCAACTCGCTATTTAATACAAAAAAGATGCAATGCTATTAATATTAATTGTAAAAAAAATAAAATATGTTTTTATATGTTTGGAGAGGAGATTCAGAAATTCAACTTTGATGTAATTTTTTTATTCAATATCACATTGATATATGTTTTTGTACCGAGGCGACGTTAACGGCTCCGGACTAAATTAAGGTTAGGTTAAGTTAAGGTTTTGTAAAGTCAAACGTAATCAAACAAATATTTTGTAGTTTTGTGTTACGATACCGCTAATAAATAAAATAAAAATTGGTGCTATTCGGGGACAATTGTTACGAATTATAGAAAACTGATTAAATTAAAATTGCAAGAATATATCGCATATCAATAGATTGTACAACAATGAGGTTCGGTAACAAGGGCACATCCACTTCGATGGCATATTTTTTGAAAAAAAAAGAGTTTCAAAAGATTCTCATAACGAATCTAGGCTTAAATTCCGCCGATGTCGAAGAGTTTTTTGATACGAACAAAAATATCCTTAATATTCCCCGCCATCGATTAATAAACAATTGCTTGATGTGCCAGGTATGTACAAGTATAATTTATAAATTTTGATATACGTAATTTAATGTAACTTCTCTTTTCTCAAGTAGCATCAATATCGATTATAATAATTAATTTTACTTTCTTTTCTTTACTTATGATATAGTTAATAGAATTCAGAAAACAAACAAAATTATGAGTGGTTAATTGTTAGAACAAACGAATTAACTGATTATAATTGAATCTGTCGTTCTAAAAAAGACATTCAATATTTTTTTATTTTTCACAAAACAAGAAATATGAAGAACACACATCTATGTGAAGAGAAAAAACAATGTCAAAAATTTTCTTTTGCAATTTTTATAATAAAACTTTGTCTACAATAGGAATGATGCAATTTCTTCATTTTTCAATTAAACAAAATATAATAATTCATTTATTCTCATTTTAGAAATACAATGTCAATGCAAGTCCTCTGCTAAACTTTCGATTCTGTCTGATATTGAACAGTCACAAACTAGAACATAGAATCAATATAATGAAAGACATAGGAGTGCCAGATTTGAACTTGTCTTCAGTGAGCAGGTAAGTTTACAATCAGTTACAGATTGATCATATTCTGCTAAGTGCGTGAATATTTCAATAATTTTTGAAATTCCAGAATGGTCCATCTTTTTCGCAAACATGTATCTACATTCAAAGAGAAGACCAATATTCCAATTGAACAAAACATTGCCAAGAATATATTTGACAGACTCGGTCGTGAAGTTCCAAGCGATATTTCCCAAATGGAATCATTAAGCAACAAATTGACAATCCATCAATACTACAAGGAATGTCTCTTGCATTGCAAAACTCGAGTATTCAATCTACCATATTTAGATGACAAGATATTGTTGCACGAGTACATGAAATTTAAGAGCATAAGCATGGTTGCAGAAACATTAAAAGTACTTAGAATTAATCTCGATTACAATGAGGAACTGGTGAGTGTACTCTTAATATTCAAATAAATTTTATTTTTCATAAAGAAATTTTGCAGATTAAATTGAAATAATTGATAACAAGTACAAATTTTTACTTCAATTTTTTTTCAAATCATTCGATTAAATTTAATTTCTGAATCCTCAAGTTTTTATTAAATTTCTAAATTTTTGCAGTTTACCGATCTTATAACATTTTTTTACTAGAATCTTTATTTTTTTTGTTTTTATGCACAGATAAAAATGAATCCTTTCGTCATCACCGCTTCTGCCGACAACATCAAGTCACTGTTAGATGGTTTTACAGATATTTGTGGAATACCAATCATAATGCTTTTAAGGGAACATCCCCACATACTTTTTCAAGATGCTGATAATATTAAGCGATTACTGATGTCATTTAAACGATATGAAATATCAGATGAGTATGTAAAGAAATACATGAGGATTCTCGAAATGGGTAACGACACCTTTCTTGAGCGAATGGAGATGATAAAACGACATCCGGATCTGCATGTGTGGTGCAAACATCCTCGAATCCTACGAATTATCGTCCACAAAGATATGGCGAAAAATCGTGTAGATTATCTTCGCACCATAAATCGCTCGAAATGGGTTCGTCCTCAAACGGTCCTGTCTAAACCGGCCGACATGGAAAAGTAAGAGTTTGCAGTTTATAAATATAGCTGAAATATTAATAAAATCCATTGTTTTATATATTGTTATATATATATTTTATTTTGTTTAATTTTATTCTAGATATTTAGATAATGCCACGGTTCTGTCCAGAAAAGGTCTGAGACATGTATTTATGCAAGAACTGGGAGTGGATAAAAACGATCTATTGGCGAGACATCCGCATTGGAAAACGGTCGGATTTGCCGATATCGAGCAAATGTTTAAATATCTGAAGAAGCATTTTACGATAAATGAGATATGCCAGAATATACACATTGTACTTTATAGACGGTAATAACTGTATTTCTATTTAATTGCTTGGAAAATTACAATAAAAAACTAACTGGTGATTTGTTATTTTCAGCTCCAAGGTGGAAAAGGTACTGGCCGATTTGAAACGGCGTTATTCTCAGAGTACAGAGTTCTCATTTACGAATGGCCAGTACCTTGCATTATGCCTGTATATGCTGGAAAAGGATACTCATTTCACAGGCGACGGCATCTGGAACAATGGACACAATGCAAAGGGACAATATTTGCTTCCTTTAAAAAAGAGAAATGTTACAGAAGGCACTGACAATGATACTGTACGAAATATCAATGACTATTTGAATAATGAAGATAGCCGTAATATAAATGATGATTTTAATACCAAAGACAGCAATGATATGGATGATGATAATGATTTTGATGATGAAGACGAGACATCTACGACGAAACGGCAACATACATGATATATGTAAATATTTTGTATAGAATACATACTTTACAGAAAATGATTTCATAGATATAGTAAGATTGCATTGATTTATAATTTGGATCCAATGTGTAAAAATACAGCAGTGCACTTCAAACAAAGTAAATGAAATGCTATGAAATGATGAATCGGTATGAAGAATATTTATGCATAGATTTCATTGCTTATTGTTATTACAAATTTTTGATGTGAAAATTGAATATTATGGATCGATATAAGGTATAAGGTTATTTCGATTTTGTCATTCCATTATAAATTCTTTTTCACACAGATTATTTCAATTTTATCACTCTTGATTTATTACAAATCAGTTTTACATAGAAATTGAGTATTGCAAGATACAAAGCGATATTATTTCGATTAAGGTCCACTCTTTTTCTAATACAAAGGCACTGCATAAGGCATTGATTATTTAAGGTACAGAAAATATCGCGTGTTGAATTAATATTACAAATCTAATAGTACATTTTGTGATGTCTGTACTTTCTTTCATTAGCCGACGAGATTCAGAAAAATCACTTTTCTGAAATTATACTTTTTCTTACTTTTATCGACGGTCGAGAGAAACTGATAGAATATGAATAGAATATTGATTATCGTCGCGAGGTGTCGCTCGAAGGCGCTTTTCTCTCTTAGTTATTTTTTCTTATTCTGTTTCCTATATGTAAATAATCACCACGCGTTCGGATCCTATTTTATATATTTACGTTTTGATTTTCAGATAGTTTTCCGCGAATTGAGATGAGAAATTAGTAGAGCAACGAAAAGGTATAACTTTTTATAAGTCTCTCCTTCTTCTTTAAATAAGATACTTTACACATATTCTAGGATATATTTTATATTCTTTCTCTTTATACGTAATATGATGTGTACGATCGACTACTTTCGCATAAAGCGACACAATGACGCAATTTCTCGCGATCACTCACAAGCAAAACAAGTACAAACATGTCGGGCGTGTTTTAACGCGAGCTCGATCCTGGATTACATTACTCGTAATATACATCCATCGAAATACTGCGTGCACATCGACTTAGAATCTCCAATGGACGCTTTTCATACAAATATTTCTTTTCAGCGCTTCGCGCGTAACGATCTTTTATATTCCATATCCCGAAGTGAACGAAAGAGTTTGTCTACGATTTAGATCAAGTCGAGATGCGCGAGTAACCATGTCCAGGATCTAATACTCTCCGCGCTCGTTGCGAAACACAGAGTATAGATCGCGAAAACCGTCTAGAAGAGATCTAGAACGGAGGAGGCCGCGAGTCAGTTCAGAAAAGGAGGTAACTGCACATAATTCTGCTGACTACCGGGCTCGCTCTTGACCATCACCTGGCCGTCCTTCATGGCCTGGCGGGTCTGCGGCGAATGCATGCCATAGTCCTGCTTCTGATCAGGTTGCGGCGGTTGCTGCTGCTGGCCGTAATCGGCCGCCGTCTGCTCGTGCGCATATTTATCCGCGAGGCAGCCGCCGTGCTCGTCCTCGGACATGGAACTTCCCAGATGAGTGGGCGGCGAGTGCGCCGCCGTCACCATGGTCTGATAATCGGCACGGGTGAGGGCACCGCCGGGGGGCGGCGGCGGGCTGTTGCCGCCACCGGGGTTCATGTAGTCCTGGTGGACGCGCATGGTGTTGCCGGCGGCGGCCGGCGTGGAGAACAATGAGGCGTCGTGCTGCGTCGGCAGCATGCTCGTGTACGACGAGTACGAAACGTTGCCATTGTTACCGAAGGCCGCTGCCGCTGCCGCAGTCGAATACGAATTGGACGGGCTGAGTAAATTCAGATGAGGCCCTAAATCATACGCCGGCGAGTAGGCCCACGCGTCCGGCGGTGCCGTCGCCGTCGTCGGCGACGCGAACGGATTCAGGGTGTTGTTAAGCGACGTAAAGGAGCCTGGGAATAACGAAAAGGAATTACATTAAAAGAATTTTCAAATATAGTCATCAGGCTACAAATTCTTTTTTTCATCTTCTTTTCTATTATTTTTTCTGTCTTGTTTTTTTTTCTCTTTAGAAGAAAATTATGCCAAAAAGATATGAAAATAAAGATTTTGACGCATGTATTAACAAGATCAATTTTACAGGTGCAGATATAATTTTACCTGATAATCCGGGACTGGCGGAACCCGCGGCCATGTAACCGGCAGTCTTGCGTGGTGGTTCCTTCTTCCGCCACTTTGCACGACGATTCTGGAACCACACCTGAACGCGGGTTTCGGAAAGCGCGAGCTTCAACGCGAGTTCATCGCGAGCGAAGACGTCTGGATAAGGAGCCCGCTCGAACGCTCTTTCGAGCTCCTCAAGTTGATAAGCCGTGAAAGTTGTTCTAAAATGAAGAAGTCGAGGATAAGTTGTACAAATTCTATATATTTAGAGATTTACAAATTAAATAAGTTGAAGAAAGAGAGTGAAAGAGGGAAATCTCAGCTTACATCTATGTAAATTAGAGAAAAAAAGAGAGAGATTTCAGCTTACATCTGTTTTCAACACAAATTTAAATATGTATTAATATTAATATATAAAAGGATGGAGAGAGATATACGAAAAAAAATTAGATATTTATAAATACATAATATAGATGTATATTTTTTAAAAGAAGGACATTTATATAGATATAAAATTAATAATTAGTCGCACATGTCGTATATAGATACCTCGTCTTTTTTTTCTTGATATTATTGTTGTCAGTCTTCTTTTTCGAATCCTTTTTGGCTGGCTGCGCTTCACTGCTAACTGTAATATTAATATTTGTTTGTCAGTCGTAAAATTGCGAAGTTTACAGGTGTAAACTTACCTAAAATAATATCGGTTACAATAATTTTCCAAAATTCCTATAGATTGAAATAGCATATTGGAAAGAAGATTGGAGAGAGCGTGTTTCAAAAGAGATAAATACCTACGTAAAAAAAATTTTAGAAGTTTTAGTAAAAGATTCGAAAGTTACCTGGCGCGAGCGCATTGATCGGATCATCCGGCTTCCTCTTGAGCGCATTTCCAAGTTGTAGACCTTGTTGTAGGCTCGTCGAGGTTGGTGTGACGCTGGTAGACGTTGAAGTGGTGACGTCCTGCGTCTGCGGCGGTAAAGGCGCGTACATGCTGGACAACTCGAGCTCCTTAAGCTCCTTCTGCTGCTGCTGCAGATGATGCTGATGCTGCGACGCGGCCTGATGATGCGGTGATGGGCTGTTTGACGAATCCAGCTTGTGAAGCTGACCGCCGCCGGTCGGCAACAGGTCGCCGCTTCCGTGATGGCCGCTGCCATGCAGACTCAGCATCACCTGGATGCTATGAGCTCCAGAGGTTCCGCCGCGCGCTCCAAATTCCGAGAAGATCGGATCGTCCCAAGAGGGAGCACCGTCCATCTTGAAAAATCTCTTGACTTTTTACAGAAAGGTTTTGAAAAATCTCGCAATAATTTATGCGCTTCGTCAAAATATGAAATTCACTTCTCTCTCTTTTGCATCTCCTCTCTCTTTCTCTCTCTTTATTTGTTTAAAGACAGAAAACTGGGAAAGTTTACGAAATGAATTTGATAGTACTGAATTACTTATTGTTTTTTTTTTATCGTACTACAATTTTCATTTTCATTTGCACTTCTATTTTACTGACTCTTATCTCTATTTTAGAAATCTTGATTTATAATCACCGAATTTGTATGTGTCTTGATTTCTAATTTTCGGATTTTAATCGATTAAATGCGGCGAATATCACAAACCACTTGATATATCTTCCGTAAAGCATCTTCCGGGTTTCCTCCATCAATTTACGTTCTCGGGGATGTCCATAGATTCGATTAAATTAAAATCCGAGAACAGAGGTTGGATGAGAGATCGGTTCACACCTCGGTATTGATCGCGCCCATCATCGCGAAGATCTTTCGAGATTTCTTCCCACTTCCTGCCGATGGAAGAAAAAAAGGAGGAAGCAATGTTGCAGCCGATTGCTCGTAATGGAGCGCGCGCACGCGGCAATTGCGATCAATTGTTGCCCGGGTTATGATTAATTTTGATTAGTTTTAAGCGGCGTTAACTCGGTGCGACGCGCCGGCCGATTATTATACGAGGCGGAAGACCTTGGAAGACTGGATGAACTGAACCGACGACGTTGTGTCTTCCCCGATACGAGAGAACGTTCGTCCTCTCTTCTCTCTGTCTCGGGACACTCTCGCCACTACTCTCCGTCCTGAGTCTCTGGCTAATCAGTCGCCACTCACACAGGCTTATATTTTCCGAGGCACGCCGGCCCAGGTCGCCCCCACACCCGGGGCCCGGCCAATCCTGCTTCGTGCGGGCGCGATGATGCTGTCCCTCGCGGTCCACCGCCATCGTTTCCTCAGCCCCCCTCTGCCACCGCGGGCCCCCGCGAACGCAATCGCCCCCTCTTCCTGTCGACCTGCGCGCAAAAAAAAAAAAACGGTTTATCCGCACGACGCCGGTGCGGACGGGGGTGGATGATACGGGGTGCGAACGCGAGGGTTAACGTCAAGCTCGTGGGAATAGAATGAGAGAAGTCTTTCTCTCGTGGGAATCGGCGGGTTTGTTTTCTACTTTCGCGAGATGGAGACTTGGAATGAATTAAGGAATGAAAAAGAAATATAAAATGTCAGATTATGAAATATATTTTAAAGAATTACGAGAGAAACACAGGGATTTCTAGAGCAAATTTCCGGCAAATTTATTAGAAATGAAAGAAATTACAAAAGACTAAGAATTACGTTAATACACCTTGTCATAATTATATTTCTTTAATTTGCAGAATTTAAAACAAACCACATGATTATCGATGATGATTATCTCGCAGCATTATACTTGTTCTCTTACCTTCGACTCATTGTGAATCTTTTTGCGTTTACGCTCCTGTTGCTTATGCCATTTTCCTAAGTGTTCAGATATAACAGTGACGCGAACAATATGTAAATCTGCCATCGTTTTGCAGTTTCTGGCGAGATTTTCTTCGATATGAACTATTATTGAAATGAGAAAAACATCCCAGACATACGTTTGACTGATTACACGTTTTATTAAATCAATTCGCGGCTCCTTCGCCTTCATCTTTGCCTCTCTTCTTCACTTCTTTAATTTATATTTTCAACGAATCAAAAGTTTTATACAATGCGTTTGCACAACAGTCTCTTCTCTCTAACAGACGATCCAATGAAGAAAAGAAAATCGATGCGACGCGCGATATCGTCGCGAACGAGAGATATACCGCACGTTAACACTGCACCGATCGATCGATATGCAACGAACTAGATCGTCGAGATACACCTTCGAAGAAGAGATCCATGTCTGTTGGCCGACAGTTGGCGTGGCACTGAGCCAAAGTACTCTTAAGCGCAAGCTCAATGAAATCAGCAATCGCCAGGAATTGCCTCGAATTGGCCCAATCAAACAACCCCCCCGTTCCCCGTGCGTATACGCGCGTATATTAACCACTAATTTTCGTCGTTGGGGTAATTAACGCGCGTCTCTATGCGCGCCGATTTCGTCGCGCTTTCCGCGCTGACTCTCTCCGACCTGATCATCCGCCGCTCTCGATCGACCTTAATCATCTCTTCAGCATCACCTTGCCCTTGTCTCATTATTTTCTTATACGTTCGTACAAATTATCAATTTCGGAAGTATAAGTTCTAATTTTTCAGGCTTTATCTGCATGTTTTATCATTATTATCTTAACAATTATTATATATCTTGATTAAGGGTCTATTTTATTTATAATATCCATTTCGATCTCAACGAAGAATATTTGTTCATCGACCGTTTTTATCATTAAGGGACTCAACAGGGGGAACGACTATTATGGAGAATATGATAATTAATATAGGACTCTTTTGGGGTAAAGGTGCGATAATGCGGGTGACTGCGTCATCATGTATCCATTATTCCATCATTTTAACACGGTAAACGCAACAGTCGTTTATCATCCGATCTAAAACACCTGTATGTCTAATCGCTCTTCTCCTTTCACGAGATTGGCATGAAGATAATAGGTATAAAGAAAATTGAAAATTTATATATTTGAACATTTATTTGAAACACACAAGAATTTAAATTATTTATTAAAATAATAATTTTAAGAAAATTATCAAAGAAATTCATATTTGGAATAATATTTAGTCATTTCAAATATATACTCTCTGTGTGCCCACTTCTGTATAGAAATTGTAAAAGTATTTAAGCTTATATCTTTACATCAGTTTTAAATTACTTCTTATTTTAGATCGTACTTTTCGGCTTTCGAGATCAATTGGATCTCAGACGCAATGTAATGAGTGAGGTGTCTCATGATGGTGAAACCCCTGCGGCGATTTAATTTCCAATTTCGCGGCGGCGAGACTGTATCTCATGCGGGCCCGGGAGTTATCCTGGGACATGTCGAGGTATCTCTGCGCGTCGAGGAGTCATCGGGCCCTAGGAGGTCGATCTGACACGGCGGCGGCGACGGCCGCAAGAGAACGAGGAGAAGTCGGTAACTTAACTGGCCTAAATGGGTTTAACTCGATGTGATTTTGCTGGCGAACCACTAAATTGAACGAATACGAACTAAACTGAACTCAACTAAGCTAATCATATCACATTACTAGCGTTATTAGCCGAGCGACGATATAAGTGAAGGTCCGGTGAGCGCCGGGCTGCAGTGTAACGCAGCCTCCTGCACTGACCCTCCGCATCCGCGACTTTCTCTCGCATCCGTGCGTCCTCCATCTTGTTATCTCGCGAGGTAAACATGACCTACAATAAGACGTACGTTCGCCGTCATCACCGTCGTGCCGTTAACGGATTAGGTGTTCGAGCTTCGAAGCAGCTCGGAGGAGAGATCGAAGAAGAGTCGCAGAACGGAAGTGATTTCTCTCTCGCGGTCGCGATTATCCGCCATCGTGTTTCCGCGTTTCTCGCGTCGCGCCACGACGCACCGGAAGTGAACGCGATGAGCACCAACAGTGCGTCGAATTTAAAGAGCGAGCGATGGATCACACGTCATTTTATTCGAGCGAAATATCATAATTTGCGAGTGGCAGATGCTTGTATAAAAACGTGTAAACAAAATTTAAAAATAGAGAATGTTTTAGATCATTTCTTTAAATATGTTTTAAATCTTGATTTGTTTTTTTTTTTGTCGGAACTACGTGCGATATTTTAGATCTAGTGCGATATTTTAGATCTAGCGCGATATAAGATCACGACTCGCTTGCGTTTTTTGACTTTCGCGTATCTTTCTTGCAAAAATTAATTATCTTTCTAAAAGGACAGGCAGTGTACATTTTTGGCGTTTAACATTCTCATTTGTGTTATACGACGATTATGTTTTATTATTAAATTTTTAACGAACAAATGGACGCAACGCGTGAAAGAGACATGAAATGCGTAAGGAAGTAGACGCCGATTGTTCCCCACTCCATCTGCGACGTGGTTGGACGATGTCTAAAGGGAGATGAGAGAAGAAAATGAACGCGATACGTTGTCGCCCCTCTATTTTACACAGGGCGGGCTCGGTCTCTTCAACTCCACCTCTTCACTTCCGTTGCTCTTTCGAACTCGAGAGATATACATATAAATTATTTGGGAGTTCATTTTTCAGCTACGTTTTATGTACTGTATAAATGCGTTTTTTCTTTATTAAGTGAGTACGTATATTATCAAATGTTCGCGAAGATGAAAATTAAGAAAAGACAATTCAATAGAGAAAAGGACAAATGTCTAATATATATATAAAATTTTATTTCGTGTTTACAACATTTTACATCTACTGTATACAAGTTTGCATATAAATCTTCTTATCGTATACATAGATCATTCGCAGGATACTCGAAAAATCTATAATACATATATTTTCAATCATTTTTATAAGAATTATAATAATTGAAAAGCATTTATTAAAGTTTGACATACAAAGTAGATTGATTGTAAAAATTTCTTGTTGAACGAATGGTTTGATATTTTACGCGATCGTAATTAAAAATAAAAGTTTATAATCTTAATAAATGTTTGAAAAATCTTACAATTGTAATAAAATATCGTGTTCGGTCGATTACTGTATATCAAACGCAGAATTCTTCTGAACTACATAAGATTTCGCAGATTATACAAAGACTGCAAGCAATATAATTTTTGCCGCGAGAGGAAACTTCGACAGAAATATGAGACAGAAAGGAAGACGCGAATGTGCGACCTTTCAACTTTTGAACGTCGGTCGTCTTTTTTATTGGTTAGCATATCATTTGTATTTTTTTCTTGTTTTTTTACGTCGTAGGTATGTCGAGCGTTTAACGATGAACGCGCTATGTTGCCCGCAGCGCCGGGACCCGCCAATTGAGCCTGTTAACGCTCAATTGGTCTAAATTGCTTCAATTGGATGTAATTGCGCGAAGGCGACGGGGAACCTCCGCTCTACGTTTCTCTCTCTCTTTCTTTTTTTATATACCGCGAATATCATCGACAAAATGTTATGTTCTCAGGCTCTTCCTGCCAACAACAGAGATCGTATTTTTAACCATCTCGACCGGTCTAGCAAAGTGGATTTTTGCTTATTGTCTATCAAACTCGTTGTCAAACTTGTATAGATAAAGCAGAAAAAGAGAAAGAGAAAACGTCTTTATTGAATGAAAGCTTAGCACATTTTTACTAATAATGTGATTGCTAAATAAATAACGCAATTTTTGCAAACTTATTTTACACATGTCAAAGTTACAGTTTATTAATATAATTATTCTATTAATTTTGAGCATATTTGATTATAATCGGTAATTATCGTTTTCCCTCTGCGCGTATTGCAATATTATTACAAGTTCCCAATCGTTATAAGAGTTTATTATTTTACTCTTAATAAATATTTTTAAATTATTTTATTATTTCAAGTTTTTCTTATTATACAATTTTATAAGTTCTCTTTCTATTTTATTTTTTTCCTTCTCTCTTTCTCTCTCTCTCTATTATTATTATAAGTTACGATTACAAAAATTTATTTATTAGATTTGAAAATAATCAAAGTGGTTATTACATATAAGACACAATATATCAGGAATTGCATATGTTCTGTTTATGTGTTCTGATATATATATTTGTAGCTGTATTTTTCAAATATTGTACATAATGAAACATAAGAATTTAAATTCATTCATGGGTATCCGGAGAAAGAGAGTAAAATCTCTCTATACATGTATATGTGTTTGGCACGCGACCCAGCATGTGAATCTTGTCTTTGTATCATTCCAGACTTCTGAATACGGGTGAGATATAGGTATATCTTCGATATCCTTATCATATCCATTACATTAAATGTAATGGTCGATTTCTTCTACCACCGTTAAAGATTTGATTACACTTTTATAATTAAGAAACATTGATGGTTTAATAAGTATGATAATAGTTGATGTGTAAACATAAGATAGAAATATTTAATTTATAATAATATTAAATAATTTATTGTTAGAGAAAGAAAGAGAGTACATAATAAAATAATAAAAAAATCAATTTTAGAAAACTTTAATATAAAAGTATCGAATTTTTCGATTCTTTTCCAAGAATAAAGGTTGTTTCGAATTGACGCATATGTATATTTCCCGGAATTATATCTAATAATATCTAAGTGCATATCACGCGGTTCCAAGCTCGGATATCGCCCTTCGAAGTGAGAGAAAATGCGATGCTTTAAACGATGACGTCGCATCCTGATTAACTGTCGGCGAATACATTCGCTCGTATCCGTCGTATTTCTATCCTCGTTGGTTTCTGGGTACCAAGTGTTGCTCGTAATATAATATCTTCATCACATTTATTTAACTATAATCGTGCGATTTTAATATCGCGAAAGACACAGCAAACACAAGAAAAAAGGCATTTACATTAAAGCATTTACACTAAAATTATTAAAATTGTATCTCTATATATATGTGTGTTAATAAATAAACTTTCCTCCCTTCGTGTAAAGTGATGTAACGAGACGAGAGATTCCACGGCTATCGATAATTCTCTCGATAAAGAGAGAATTAGGCTGGCTGCGGGTCGCGTGTCGAGAAGAGTCATCTCTCAGCCAGCATAAATGGATTTTAGAAGCATATGGTTTCGCCATACGGGATCCTGGAGGACTCGCGAGAGTAATTTACCGACGAAATATTTTCATCGACGTGTGGGTGCTACCTTTTCAAAATGTACGACCGTAACAATCTCAAATACTCCCACCGAAATAAATTACTCTCTCGTTCCCGAGAAAAAAAAAAAGAATAATAAACGTTTATGCGCGCGTTGAAAAGTATAAAGAAAAGATTCATTGTGTGTGTGTGCAGTATTTCTATGCAACTCGTCCAATCTAAAAGACATAAATTATGTAAGATGTAATATTTTGTTTAACATACTAATAGACATTTTGCAATGCTAATACATTTATTTAAAAAAATATATAATAAATTATAAATAAGATTAAAATAAATAATAAGAAGGGCAAAATATAAATGCATTCTTTTCTTCTCTTTCGAGCAGTTCTATATAAAGTCTATATACTAAAAAGTACGAAAAAATTCTTTATAATAGGAACTCTAAAAAATTCCGGAACGAAAGCGCGATTGAATCGAAATTTGTCGATTAGGGTAAGTTGGATGTCAATTCACAGGTAGAGATTAGAAGTGACCGTCGCAGGACCTGCATATGGGCGCATTTTCCGCGTTTCGTGAATACAGAAGCAATCACAGATCCTTAGATATGTATTAACTGCTCCCACCCGCAGTCACGTTTTATATATTGTATTACGCAGGCGATCTTGTATATGCGGGACGATGGCGCGCGTTTTTGCCCCCGACGATACGTCATGAGAAAACGATTCGTCGTGGAATCGCGTTCTCACGAATCATGTGGGTCCACAAGTTGACCGATCAATTGATCACGGGATATAAAATCTTTCAAACCTCTATTAGACGGCTATTAAATTACAAATCAGTTGTGTCTAGTATAAATTTTTGCGATTTGATTGCAAATATATGATACAAGAGAATATATAATTATCCTTTTGTCTTTTATATTAAAATATGAAACTGAACTAAATAGTTACTTTAAAAACGGATAACTTTTTCTCTTATAAAATTCTATAAAGAATTTCGCGAATATGACAAATATATTATATTTCTTGATATCTTTAATATATATGTGATTTATATCTATATAACTTTTATTATGGAAAAAAGTATCAAATATTAAAATATATATCTTGATAAATTCTCTTTTCTGTAATTATAAAATAATGCATAAAATATTTTGGTATTTAATTGTAAATGTATGTTTTATCATTGCATATTTATATTGTTATAATAGAGATATAAGTTTAAATTACAAAAGATTCGTTCTCTTTATCGACCGATTTCAGTTTGAATACTGAAAGCGGCAAATGGTGACATCTACCGACGACTTTGACAATACATCTTCGATGAAGATTGCATCTTCGAGTCAGCTAATTGCTCAAGGCGGGCTGGATAAAAGTGTTAATATTAAAAAAAAAAAATCTTTTATGTGACTGCGCGTTTTTAAAACATATTTATTACAATCATTAACATGATTAATTTTTTTTTTTTTTTGTTTTTTGCCTCTAAACTATATTTCTCTTATATCATTATTCTAACGATATAAACTTAAAAACTCAACAATATCGCAAAAAAATATTTTAAATATCAATATGAATATTCAACATGTGATTAGATGGAAAAGAATTATAGAATATCTATTACTATTAATATCTACTTATCTCTATATGCTTATTTTTTTCTTCTTACGTAGTATTTTTTATTATAAAATCTATTTTTGTATTGAACACACAAATTATGCTTTATCGTTATCATTATTATTAATCGCGTGCATAGTTACATTTGAAACTCTATCAAACGGATAAATATACTACGATTTAAAGTAATGTACAGGCAGGAGATAAAATCGTGACATTGAATATTGCTCGATATTGTTAGACATCCAGACGAGACGAATGTCTCTCAAAATATCGCATAGAGAGACGTCGGGAAATGTCGTCGTTCGCGAGGTCAGTCCACCGGGCTTCCCGTGTTGGAATTAGCCGAAGCGAGGGAAATAAGATAAGGCTAGCGAGTTGAACATAACGTAACAGAAGCAATACGCACTGCACACGCGGATTGGCATGTATAAGTCGATGCAATAATCTCAGCTGACTAGACTTCTACGAATAAAATCAACATATTGGATATATTTTCACGGAATCTACGCGATTTTTTAAATACGATAAAATTATAGACAAAAAATATTTCAATTTTTATATTTATTGCAGAAAAAGATACTTTTCTAAATGTAAAAAGATATTAATACTTTTATCATTTTTTATAAAAATATTATTTAAACAATTAATATTTTATTAATATAACATATCTACATGAATATACTAACGTAGCATAGTTTCTTTTTGGTGTGCAAATAATTTAAAAAGATTGTAAACTTTAATATATTAATAAATTTGACAATTTTATTAATATCTTATAATATATTATTTGTATTTAGTGATAAAATTTTATTTTATTTTCAATTATTAAATCGTGGCTATGTATATTGTTCATGTCTTGCGCGGAAGTTATTTTCTGTTCTTTTTAAAACCACTTGAAAAGTAGCAGAAGTCGAAAGTCTGCCTGACAACAGTCCTCGAGCTCGAAAATAGATCAGTTTCGTAGCTTTCCGGGGATTCACGGCGTTGAAGAGTATTTTGTCATGAAAAGTTAATGCTGGCCAAAAAGTTGCCGGTTAATTAACACTCGCAAATGTTAATACTGACCGGAAGTTGGCTGGACAAATTGACAACATCGTGAATTAAAAAAAAAACTCTTATTTTGAGAGAATCAATGTAATATGATCGTCGTTACCGAATGATATATATTTGTTTGATATATTATCGTGAATAAAGTTGTCAACATCGGAATATCTAGGTTAAAAGTAAACAATTTTTGGGCATCGACTACGTGTAAACAAACTCATTGCTGCTGCAACCAAGAAAAATAAAAAGTAAAAGGAAATATTTCGTACAAATCCTGTGCAATTTCAAATTTTATATACCAAATGCAAAGTCATTCTATTATATATTTTAATTTAATGAAAATAACTAATCTAAATGAAAAAAAGTGAGAAAAAGGAAAATGTGTTTTTAGATATTAAATTTCTTTAGAAAAATAAGTAACTAGACTTGTGATATATTTTTATACTTTGAATATTTTATATAAAATTACTGCCTGATTATTGATTACATACAATTAATCACTGTCTGATCATTTTGATTGAATAATTATTTTCTTTGACTACTGTGTTATTACGTGTATTAATGAAAATAATATGTTCATAGATAAAATAATCATTATTTTATCGTGCATGTTGTTATCTATACACCTTTTAAACATTTAAACGTTAGATAACTCCTCAGATAAATTTTCGTGATAAGAAGAGAGTAAAGGTCTACGTGCGAGATACGAATAATTGTGCAAATTTACTCGAGCGAATTTCAACGATAATATGTACATGGGATTTTCAGAAATTGGACAAGCTATTATATCTAATATAAAATCTTGCGTCAGAGGAAAAATTGTTTTAAGAAATTTATCTTTGCGAGTCCCATATGAATATATCTATATATGCTTGCATGTAACAAGCTTTTTATGGATTGAACCTTTTTACAGAAAGACTTTTTATAAAATGTTGGTCTAAAAGAAAAGATTTACCATCTTCCAAAAAGAGCTTTTTTATCGTATTATATTTAATTCTTTCTATATTTAAAAGATTGATTCTGGATTTTTACATATTTTTTTCCACACTGTACACAAAATTTATTTAATCATATAAGTTACATTTTTGTCTCAAATTTGGAAATCTGGACTTTTCTGAAAATTTAGTTTGTTTTAAATACAATTACTAACAAATTTTAAAAAGAGGAATACAATAATAAGATGAAAAACAATAATATAATTAGTATACACATTAAAAAAATTTGAGAAGAAAAAAGGGGATTTTCTATGCTCTATGTTCTTCACGAAATAAGCAAGATATCTAACCAAAGCATAATTAGCTTTGTGGGTAAAAACTCGCCGATATCGATTTGCGGTATAGCCGGTCTTACGTAATCATCCGCAGCGGAGACGTGGTATATGGCACGTGCCCCTTTTCGCGATCATCTCGGAAGACATTCGAACATCCACGTCACAGCCAGAGCTCGTTTTAACTTCTTCCACATCTTGCGCACAATTCCGACCCTTTCTACATTGCGAATATAATCTTATTCGGCTAGTCTCGGCGGCGGCGGCGATTACAATTAATTTCTGCCGAAAATCTTGGCAATCTAACAATAGTAGTATAGTGATAACGTAACTGATTTCATCGAAATCAACAGAGTCAACAGATGTTTGTAGTTACAATTCACAAATATCTTTCATTAAGCTCGCACACATTCGAGCAATCTAACTATACCTTACGCTCAAACTCAATCTCTTTTTCCTCAATGTATTTAATCTTCAATAAACCGTTTATTTTTTTGCTAAATTAATTTTTATTTAACATTCCAAATAACAGTATTATCTTAACACTTATATCATGTTTCTTAATTATTATTATGGCTTTTTATTAATAATTTTGATAATATATTTTTTTCTCTCTTTCTAATCATCAATTATATTTTTTAATTATAAATAATATTAAACAGTAAAAATCAAATCTCATATTTAGGAATTAAAATTATGTTTGTTAAATACATGAGTCATGCATTGCCTTTTTAAGAAATTGAACCTTTTCTTGAACTATCGTTTCCTTGAACTATCCTTTCTTTGAAATCTTAATGAACCCCGTAAAAAAGACTCTATCTCTCGTCGTCCAAAAGTCTGCCGATTATTTGAACCGACTGTACTACAAAGATTTATCTTTGACGGGATGGCTGAAACGAATGAAAGAAAAAAGGAAAGAGGAAAAAGGCAAACAATTCTCGCGGTGCATCCGCACAGTTAACTGCGTATTTTAGTCCCAGGCGATCGCGCAGGCCTCTCCGAGAGATCCTGAAAAGCCTTGGCTGCGAAAATTCCGCGCTAAATGTAGTTCTCTACTCGCCAGCTGTTCTTTGGATATATTGACTTATTTAAAGAATGAAGTTCTCTAATTTTTTTTTTGTCCTTTTATACTCGTTTCCAGTTATTAATTTTTTTTCAAATTAAATAATATTCTTAATTTTAATTAAAAAATACTATAAATAATATATTATATTAATACTATAATAAATATTTAATTAAAAACATATAACAATCAAATTTTTGGGGGATCTGTAAAATTTTCAATTTCTTTTGTTCACTCGCAACGATTCGAGGAAGCAACCAAAAATAAAATAACCGACCGTAATAATCGGGTAATAACTGACAGACTTAAAAGCTTCGTTAAGTTCAGCCTTGAACGGAATCGCGAATTCTTCGCGAATGAGCCTGACGGCGAGAATGAGCATATATTAGAGAAAAGTTCTCCCTTTGGTAAAAGCCAAGATCGCGAACCTTTTCCGGCCATTGGCTCCTGTCCTGAAGATGTCGAGAATTCGTGTCGTCACCTGTGTTTATGACATAATGTGAGTCAATTACTATGTACAGAGAATCGTTTTCAACATTTGGCGAAACACCTTGGCGAAGTATTTGGCAGATAAGCTTCTCCCTCTCATTTCCCTCGATCACGTACGCTTCATGATCGCATAACGAAATCACGGTCGGCAAACTTCAATTTTACCGTCTCGTTCGTCACGTGCCAAGAAATAATAAATTTTGATCATCCGGAGACTAAAGTTATGAAGTTGTAATAAAGGTAAAAATATTTTCTACAGTTACTAAAAATATTATATATATTAGATAATTATTTATATTGTATAATTTATTGTAATTATTTATTGCGCGACAAAATTTCTTCAAACTCGTACCTGAGGAAAACGTTGGATTTTTGGAACCTTGGTTTATCTGGCTGTAAACTGAAAAGTGTCAAATCATCGATCATTTCAAAGAAATAATTTCGTGATAAATAACAGAAAAATTCGTTCGCGGTAGAAATAATATATGTTATAAATAATTTTCTAAATTTTCTCTAACAAAAAAGATCGAATTTTTTTAGTGTTCAAGTCTAAAGTCACTGAATCATTAAGTTGTCATCGATATTCTAAATTATATTTGAAGATTTTGAGATATATTAAAGAAACGGAGATAAGTTTATAATTTATAAAATTCAATCAAAAAAAAATTATTCTTAAAATAATTCTTAAAAATTAGAAATTTATTATGGTCTTATCCGTCGCTTTTAATAATCATTTGTGTGTTGCGATAGCATTTGGCGATTTCTAAACGGTGAATGAACCGAGTTTAATAAGGATAACTTTATGCACCGAATTGTGTGTGTATGTGTGTGTGTATTACTTCCTGGGTGGGAATTCTGCGAAGGCGGTCAGTCACGACGACCGGATGTCGAGGCTGCACAGTGGTTCTCACTTGATTAAGTAATAAGCTGCGAAAATGAGAGATTTGTCTCGCACGAATGGTATCTCGTTCAATTTAGAGAAACCTTTTATGAACGAGTGTGTATATCTTAATATTTTCAAGGTACCAGAGCGCGTTCTTGGCTCGGCTCGGTTTATTTCCGCGGAAAACGAGCGTACTCGGTCCAACGAACGTTAGCAAATATTACGCAACGAATACTCAGCATTGATACTAGTCTCTCTGAATTTGTATATCGCCAGGTGGAAATTAATTTTATTCATATATATATATTATTTTATTGCATTCATTTTTTATATTATTTTAATTTTTTTTTATTATGATTGTATTTATATAATTATAAGAAAGAAAGGGAGAGAAAGAAAGACAGAGAGACAGAACAAATGAAACAAATCAAATTATTTACAATAATTACAAATTAAATATTTTCTAAAAGATTCTTGATATTATTTTGCGATTCAACAATTCAATTCAATTTATATATATCACGATTTATAAAGGTTGTTACAGTTAACCACAGGTTATATAATCTCGTTTGTGAGAAACACGATCCGGATGTTTCGCTGAAATATCGCGAGCGCATTGTTTCTTTAATACTGTGCCTCTAACAATTTATCGTTCTGTTTTTCAAAATTTCAAAATAGACGGCTCGATGCCATGCCAGGAAATAATTTTCAAACAAATATTTGCTTATCGTCGATCTCGCGTAGTCCTCAAAGAAATCGCGTATAAAGCTCTATAAAGCGTTGAATGAACTTGATGTAGCAGTAAATTCCTGATTGCAATCAGTCAGGCTTCTTGCAAATATAATTTCGCACATCAAACTTTTTAATTCGTTAAATAGGATTTAGAAAATTAAAATTAATTTATCCAGATCCATTGCCATATCTTCGTTTTAATTTAATAATCGCTTTTTGATTTTCCCTAAATTTTCGTAATGTATTTTGATTTTTTATATTGAATACCTTGATAATCGAGCTTGGAATTAAATTCGTATTAGGGCGAGATCAATATGTAATTAATTAGAAGGCAAAGTTTCATTTTCCCGAAGCTCTATTTGCGAAAACCCTTTAATACCGTGCGACTATTAAATTTGCCCCGAGGAAAGATTCATCCCAGAGAAAGAGGGATGTCTCGTATATACTATGGATGCGCGGATTCATGCGTAAATGAGACGTCGATTAAACGATTACTTCGTACACGGAAATAATTACGAGAGGTTGAAGGGGGTGGGGCGGCATAAGGTCCTCGACGATGAAAGGGTTTTAATCTTCTCTGGATATTCTTATTGACGCGTAACAGGAGGAACAGTATAGGTAGGTATGTGGGTAGTTTGGTATTGATCTGACTCGCGAGAGAGAGCGACCTTTAGTTTCCCCCCCCCCCCCTCTCCCCTCCTCCCCCTCTCTGCTCTCGCGGGGGTGGAAACGAGAGTCCCGACTGGCGCGACCTAGAGCAACCCGAGAGGGCGCACAGCTGATTTCGTAACAGCACACCCGGAATCCCACCGTTCCCCGGAAACCACCGAGTGACCTATATATTCGATGAATATCGGAACACCGTGGAATCCAGACGAACCGATTCGAAATCGATAACTTAGCTTGGAAGATTAAAATGTGCGTAGGAAAAATTAAAAGGGTCAAGCTTACTGATCACCGAAATGAGAAAAATATTAGTCATTTGAATTAAAATGATAAATGAAATCTTTCTTTTTTTTTCTTTAATCGGCGAAATAAATTTTGGTAGGCAAAATTATAATATGTTATTTACGAGATACTGACCTCGGATTTATTATCACACCGATATCATTAAAAAAGCAGCATTGAGTTTAACTGAGATATTTTTATTATAATCATATTCTTTGTATAAGAGAATTTTGAATATAAGATCTATAGTGTTTTCTATAAATCGTTGAATAACAATAAAAAAAGTAATTCCCAAGATTAATTATATATATAAGTACATATTAGAAAATATCAATTAATAGCTAATTTTTATATCAAGCACTATCTCTCCAAATTTTTGACAGCTTGATTTATGGAATGTCATTGTTTTTCCCTTCTCTTTTTTGAAAACAAATGCATATACATATATGTTGCGATATCTGTTATAAGATAGAAATTGCGAACTCTCGAGATTATATGATTCTGGAAATACTACGTATGTCTCGCTAAAGCCACATAGCGACCAAAAAGAGTGCATCCAATGGAATACGAGTTCGCAAATAGTTGGCTACCGATATGTCTGTGATGTAACCTTGGACTTGATACGAGCTGAAAAACATCGGTCAGTCTATTTCACAATCGACGATAAAGCGTAAACATTCTTCCCGGTACGACATTTGTGACACTTCTTGATATATCCGATATATATATATATCGAATTTGAAATCTTCTCAGCGTATATAATATATTCTATGAATATTCTGTTTAGTATAAAATATATTTTCTTATAAAAGAATATTTTTATGTAACTATCTAGATATTTTTATGTAACTATCTATAGATATCTCAGCATATCGTTTTACAATAATGTTCTATAAACCTGCGATCGATAAATATCGCAAACAAGATTGGAAAAGAAAGAGAGAGACTAGATTTTAATTTCAAATTTTATTAAATTAAATTTAGTTTCTTTTATGATTTACAAATTTCAGTTTACATCGACAATTTGATTCCACGATGTTCCGGTCATTAATTAATTCCATCGTGCTTTTTTATTTCACTGTATAATTCTATGAGAATCAGTAAAAACATTCAATAAAAAATATTTTATATATACTCTAGGAATGTTGAAAAATTTTAAATAGTCTTATAATCTTTCACGAAAATATATAAAATATATTTGCATTTTATCTTTTATATTCCCCGAGAATTTTCTAACTTTATATATTTCTTTCGAAAGAGATATTTTCATATATAGAAAATACATATCTTTCTCTATGCTTATTTTTCTTTAGATTAGTCTGTTCTAGCTGCATTTCTCTCAATTTCCATTTTTCCTCTCTTTGATCTTTTATTAAATCTCCTGTTTCATATTGTATGCAAATAGCATAGCAAAGAAAAAAGGGACAGATCGGATAAAAAGTCAGCTGTGCGAGCGAAGGTTGAACGAAGAGGAAGAGGTTCGCACGAGACTCGGTCGTCTTACGCAGAATAGAGTCGCATCTTCGATAAATTCGTGACAATCTCGCGAAAAGAAGATAGAAAGAATCCAGGTGGCAACCGAAAACTTTTCTCTGCATCTCGTGGACGTAGAGGAACGGCGGAATAGCGGACGCGTGAAACGGGGAGAAGGGGCCGCGAGGAGAGCGGTGATTGGTCGAGCCGGGAGGAGAGGCTCCCACGACGGCGAGCAGATTCCGCGTTCGCGCTACGCCGCGCCACTTCGTCGCCGACTCGCGCACCGTACGTACGTCGTCATAGGATCAAAAGTGCGCCTCTCGATCGCCCTCCGATCTCTTGCTGTCGTCATCGCCCGTGCATCGTCGAGGTGAGTCGCATAAATTTTATCTCGCGCTCTATCCGATCACGTTGCATCGTCGATCCGGATGCGCTTCGAAACTCGTGGATCTCCGTAGATCCTAGTTTTTATCTCTCGCGTGAGATTGGTTAACCTTCGTGGCTTCCTTGGTTTGTGCGAATTCTTTCCTAGCTATTAGTTTATCGTAAGTCGACTATATGATTTTTTATCTAATTCAATTTCTTTAACGATTTTGTAGTATGAGATTTCTCGTATTAAAGTTGAGATATCGCGCGATTCGACATGAATCTTTCGTGCTCGCAGACGGATGAGCAGCAAGAAAGGATATCGTTTCACGTATACCGGTTTTACCGGCGTTTTTAGCGTCGGTTCCGTTAGGCAGGTGCTCTGCTCGCTGAATCGCGACACGCAGTCTTTTGGGTTAGGATGCCGAGGTTACATTGAGAGATTGTCCGAGACAGCAAAATCGAAACCGGTATTTTTGCGTTTATATTAATAATTGACGATTGTACGCGATAACAGTTTTTATTTATTTAATCGTGAAACGCGACGAGATCGGTGGAGAAGATTTTTCGCAATGTCCGTGACATTGAAAATTGGACTCGTCGAAATTCTACCGATGTTACTCGCTTCCAAGATATCGCCATCATGAAGTTTCTATCGCGCCGAAATCGATCCGCTTGTAGTTGTCGCTTGGTGACGGCGACCCGAGATGAATTTCGGGAATAAAGGCGTTTACGTAATAGAATAAGGATAACAATCGATACAACGATAATGACTGCCACGTCCCCGAAATATTTGCAAATTGTTTAAATATTATTTTTCTAGACTGATGAAAAAGTTTTGTTTTTTATTAATAAGAATATAAGACCAATTTTTATTATAGATTTGCTTTACTAATCAGAGATATTAATATATCTCACGAAGAGGAAACCTCGCAGACGACAATGTAATGAAGCCCAATTTATTCGAACGCTATCTCGAGAGTATGTTATATAGGGTGTCCCGGAACCATCGCCACAATTGTCTATAATTATTCCTTTAACTTGCAGTTAATCTCTCTGTTTTTTCAAAAAAGATTTAATTCTTCCCTAATAATTTTGACTGGATATTTTATCAAAATAAAATCCATATTCTCGAGTATGTAATTAATTTTGTATGTTTTATTTAAACTTAGAATCCGTTTAAAGTTAATTGCAGAATAATGCTTTTAATTTCTTTATATTTTCTCGACCAAAAAAAAAAAACAAGATTTCTTCGTCTTATTTTACTTGCAATCATATTTATATCCGTGAGAAAAATATTTACTCGACATTGGCTAAGAAATTCATAAATACAGCAATGACAATTCTAGGCCATCCTGTATACCGAAATTCTCGTGCTGAAACTCGATATTATACGTCGCTCTAATAAGGTTACTTCAAAATCCGATGAATTGCGTAATGCGCTTCAGTGAATCAGGCTTGTCGATATACGATCGCGATGCGTTTGTTTCTCGACGATCGATGATAATATAGCGGTTCTTATGTCATCACGCGCTGACTAAACGACTGAACCCTGAATGTAGTTAGTCGTAAACGGGATTCCGAGAAATGTCGACCGCGGAATTTAGACGCGGAACGATTAACGACAATGATGAGTCTGTAACAGTCGTATTGTCACACTTGGAATCATAACAATGGTCCAAGACTGAGCGAAACTTATCTTCACGTGACAACGAAATCTCAGCTAACTTTCCATCACGCTCTAAATATTTGGATTAAACGCGTTTTACATAAAAATACGTATTTTTCGCGCGATATATTTTGTTACTTTCAATTATTATACATATTTAATTATATTATATAGTCTATTTTACTTGTTATCATGTTAATTATTCTTGTGATATATTTGACACTAGATTTTGATTTAGGGCTACGGGATGTTTGTTTTATGCGTCTGCAATTTTAGTTGATGGCAAAACGACTTGCGACGCGACACTGGTTGAGTTAACTCGACTGGCTCGCCGATGATCCATCATGGCTAATATTATGAATTAGCGTCCTGACCCGCGTAATGCTACGCGTAAACATTTATACGATGGCAGTTTGTAGTCTCTTTTAATGAACTATACAGCTCGTTACGTCAGATGTTTGCGAAATCCCGACACTTGATATATTCAACAATATATTAGAGCCAAAGTATATTGATACGTTAAAATGTATCATAAAATTTTAAATTATCAAAATGTTACAAAAAATTTTTAATTAATTATACCATGTAATCATTATATTTTTTATATGGTGTAAAAAAGAAGTTTTGTTCAACATTGAAAGAAATTATAGATTCGGTAATTCAGACTCTCATTATACGCTCTTCGCTCCTCTCGAAAACATATTTCCAATCAGCGCATCCCACTTCCGGCCGATGATCGATATCGTATCTCGTTGTTTGATGTTGATCGAGATCGTTCGGCACGCTGATCTAACATGCAAATTGTTAGGCGCGCATGCATTAAGCGAATTTCCGCTTGAAAGTACATTGACAGATCAACCGCCCATGTATAGATCCGCGCACAAATCACCGGGTGGGTAGAGAAGGGAGAGGAAGGGATTATGTAAGTCCAGAGATGTTCGCATACATGTGACAAACCTCAAACTGTTTTATGCGAGATGTTTTTCTTTTCATATTCATTAAGAAGATATAAAAAGCTATAAACTATAGTTTTTAATTTTATATTAAAAATACAGTTTAATTAGAAAAATATATAATTTAATTAAATTGTAGAAAAAAATTGTTTTAATTTTATAAACATAAAATTAAAAACTTGTTGCGAAAATCGCATATATTTGCATAATAGTAATTGAAAGACAAGAATACACATATGGCCTGTGAAGCAACGCTTCTCGCGATGGATCGATCTTACCTCATTGATCGGCGTTCTTTCAAGTAATTCTAGACGAGATATATACAGTGTGGTATACGAAACTCTATTGTGAACATCTATTTGATTTAATAACACGACACTTTGTTGCTGAAACAATATATTTGAAAGTAACAATACAGAAAGGTAACAAAGCAGTTTCAATTTTTGTCGTTTGTCGACAAATTATATTTAATTTAAAATATTATACACATTCGAACACACTGATCAGTATTAAATGAATTTATATTCGATATATTATCTATCTTATTATTTATTAACATATTTGTTATATTTATTTTATTAATATCCGTTTTTAATGATATAGTAACGCGAGCATTACATTTTACATCATTCTTTTTTTTTGTGTAATATATTTGCGATATTCTATACTGCCTGCACGTGCCATGTGTTAAGCCGAGTCACAAGCAAGCGCATCATTATCGAGTGACGTGTTTCTCGGTTCTTTAAGGCCAGATGTGGCTTTACTCCTACTCGTACATTACTAACGCTAATACCTGACATGCTGACGTGTATAGGGTGCTTGGCGAGAAGCGTAAAAAAAATCTCTTTTGTGAGTACGCTTCAGTTGAATTTGATGCAATTTATCTTTAATCTTTAAATTTAACTTATCCTTCAATTTAATTAGGGACCAATTAGTCTACAGGTATATCTCGTATGCTGCTCGTGACCTCTATTCGCAATTAAAACTCGCTGTGTTAGATTATAGATTTTTTTTTTTTTTTTTAAAGGATTTAGCTCATCGAAAATCATTGAAATAATCTTTTTCGAGTTATTTTTTTATTATATTACAATGTTTTTTCTGTGAAAATTTATTACTTATGTAAAATATGTAATTATTTTTTAATCAAGCGCAGATATTAAATATATATAGATATTATTAATTATTGAATTAAAATTTATATATTTAAAATATTGTTTATAGCTACGTTTATTCATAATTTACATAGATAGATATAAATATAATTACGTTACATAAGTTTTTATTTATTACGTTTATCTGTCGAGAGATAATTCTGCAAATGTTTTTTTCATATCTTTTAGTTGACGTACATGATAAGGCCAAACACCTGTCGTTAGAGTTACGGTGATTATTTCGGTTCGTAAAATTAAGCGCGATGTATGTTGCGTTATTATTAGCTACACACATGGTATATCAACAGGTCAGATTGGCAATTATAGCTCACCTGTAGAATTTAGAAGTGCAGTTCTAATTGCATTGCAAAAAGAGATTTAATTGGTTATATATGACTATTAGAACTGAAATAGATGACGTAAAACTAGATAGAAATATATAGATTCAATAATTATTGGAATTTATAAATAATTATTATTAAATTACATACACATATACATATTTTTTCACATTTTGTTATTATAATTAATTGCATTGAATAGTAATTAATTAGAAAATCGATAAATTTATTAATGTTAATAACTGTCCATTTTTTCTTTTACATACTTAAATATTAATGATAAAAATATCATCTAATCGGATGAATGAGAAGTGTCTTGAGAAAATTAGTTATGCGAAATTACTGGACTATAAAGCCTCCGAATAATTTATAACGATTTATTTCGTTTTTAGCTTTGCACACAAGTTGTAACCTTGACCTTACCATTACATATCACAGTAAAGTCTGAAATCTGTTCAATAATCTAATGTTGATTCGTCATATGATGATATGATGATTGAGCTTTAAGCTCGAAACAAATTATATACGAAAAAAAAATTTAATTTAATAAAATTAGATTTTATTATTAATTGAGATAAATTTTCATTGACAAAATCTTACACTACAAAAATAATTATTCTACTATTTTTCAAGTGAATTATGAAATTCTTAACGTAAATTCTTACATTCTTTTGAGCATAATTGTTGGGAAAAGTTTATATAATTACAATGTCACGAGATTTGAAAGGTAAAATCGATTTCATTCAAGTGCAACGAACATGATCTTTAAACGAGAGATGCGTCTGTCCAGAAATAAATTGGTTTATCCATGGTCAGCAGAAGCCTGAGTTGTTTATGATCTCAATATATATCTGCATATATATACCGGATTTAGAATGGCAGGTTTCCAT